TGTGAAAGATTTGAAAAATTCAAAACCTAACTGTTCATTCGACTCTGAATTAACAAATATCCGCAGTCGGAGCATTGAATACCACAAGGTCGAACTAAAGTGTTTAAATCAGAAGTGGAAAGCATTTAGACCGGAAATAGGTCATCTAACAGAAGAAATTGGAAGATTAGACAATGTGGGCGATCACCAGTTTTTGTGTTTAGCAACATAACTTTCCCGACGTATGCGAATGGATAAAAGAAAATGAGAATTTAATTAAAACATCTATTTATAAACCTATTAGGCTTGAGATAAATGTCCGCATCCCCCATCAAAACAAACGTTTGAAACATACGCAAATGTCCTGTGACACTTAACTGTGGTTTAGAGTGTATAGAGCAAGTTCCTGGTGTGATTAAAGTTTATTTGTGTCCACTTCTATGTATACCGGAGAAAATATATTTTTTCAAATGCAAACAGAACGAAGAAATACAGACGAAGTGAACTTCGACAGGCTATTGATAACTTTCGAAATCAATAAAGTTCTTTGAAAATGCAGGCGGGCGGAAAACAACTATTTATTACATAAGCAAGAGAAAAATGAATTGAGAAATTGATTTAAAACGAAATATATTAAAATATTTAAAAGAGCCTATGCGCTAACAAGCCGCAAGTGATCAAAAGTTGACTGCATTGTGCACTGTTGGGAGCTAAGCATTCTTGCAGGTGACTTTAATGCAGAAAATGAAATATTTCCTGATGAAATTAAGATATTTCTTCGGGTTAAGATGTCCCAGATGATAAACACAATGAGATCCCGCAATACCGCAATATATTATTACGAAATGAAAACATCTGGTATGAGAAGTAAAGCTAAAAAAATCAACATAAACGTAAACAATAAATATACGAAAATTGAAAATATTGATGTAAAAGCAAATTAAATCTTCATTTGATTAATTGAGTAAACAATGCAGAAAAGAGAAAGAACATTTTGGGCTTCAAAAAATGTAATCGCTTAAACGTTTTGATATGACAAACTGAAAGTTGGAATAAATTGGCTTTATTGCTCCTTATAATACAATGTGGAATACAAACAACAACTTAAATTAGTACACATCCGCCTGGGTGGCCGAGTAGGCAAGAGTCTCGACTAGCAACTCAGTGGTCGTGGGTTCGAATCTCAAGTGCGGTAGAGTTTTTAATAAAGGCCGATAGCCTTAGATGCTAGTGCTTTTAAGAGTTTAGTCTTAGAATTTATTTCTCTGGAGAAATTAATAATAATAATAATAATAATAATAAATTAGTACAAAATAAACATAAATTATTTCATTCATAAATATAAAATTGCTTTATTCCTCTCATTTTATTTTGCTTGCGTGGATGTGTGTTATGAAGAACGCGTCGTTACATCAAGCGCTTAAGTAAAGCCAGAAAAACGTTTGATATAAGCAGTTTGGAAAATAATTTTAAAATTTGTTAATAAACTGCCATTATTGGCTTTTTTCCATATAATTCAAAAAAAAAAAGAATTAAAATAGTCGATTATCATATATAATATTACATAAAAAGCTTTTAAATTCGAAAGTTTTAATTCTTCTTCTATTTTTTTTTTTTTTGTTTCATTTGTTAGCTTACATATGACTTACGAATTCCTACATGGATTCGTAAACAGTTGAGCAATTTTTCGGGATGGGCGACTTCATTGTGCGTATTTATATTGCTTTCCACATGCTCGACTGTTATTCGCAGGCCAGAAAGCAAAGCAAAGTTTCATTGTGTCCAACAGTTCGTATAACAATTTTAACGTCTGAAGTATTAATCGAAATTTTAATAACTTACAAAAAGTTTACTTCATTACAATATGCAAAGCAAATTATGTACAAGTATGTTCAAGTAAATACGAACACGTAAAATCAATTTTACTTTGACAGCTAATGCGTGATACAAAAAGCGAAAAACAGTCATTGTGTGGAGCGGTTTATGTGCAATGACCGAAGTTGAGTTCTTTATGATTTTTTGACGTTTCTTTAATTAGCGAGGTGTTTTTGTATTGTTGCAAGATTCTTTAGATTAGTCTTTGCCTAATCATAACTTATTTGTAAATAAGATAAAATTTTTAAAGCCCAACATACATCGAAATTTTCAGTGTAAAGGAGAATTTATTTTTTTGTGCACTCGGAAGAAGAGACGAAGCACTCTGCGTTTTCTACTTGTGCATGACAGATAATCAAATAAAAACTTTTTTTATATGTTCAAGGCACAGTTAGGTTTTTATGTAGTTTCCTCGATCAGCGTGAAATTCCGTGTTGATTAAAGGGAGATCAGCTGTCAAATTCGGAAAAAATTAAAATAAAACTTAAGTATACAAATAAAATATAAGTTGAAAAGTAATAAAAGTATTATTAAAAGAAGATTACTAAGTGGTCGCAACGCGTCTCCTAAAATCTAAGATGAGGTATCAACAACAAGTTGTTGATAGAGCATATACCGCCTTAGGACGGTTTATTTCTTCGAAAAATTTTATTCGAAATTATTGATAAAGTATACTAAGCTTAGATCTCCTATAGTTACAATACCGAAAAACTGGAAGACTACGTTTTTCACGGAATTGCTTTAAATTTTTTAAAGTTTTATTTTTTATTTGTATTCGTAGTGAGATATTCACATTGGGAAACAGTAAATCGACAATTATGTAGGCAAAGAGGCTACAGTTAGAAATATATAATTTTTAATGCGTATTTTCGGATTAGTTAAATGAAAATAAAATATTCCATGATATGAAGTAGAAAAGTTGACACATTAACGCTCTCAAATCTAACAGTACATTTGTTGTTCAGAAATATTATAATTATTTTGTAATTTCAATGACTGCATTTCCGTTCAGAATCTTTTCTTACTTCCCTTACTTTGGGGCAACATTTGTATTACGATGAATACTAAATCAAGTGATAGCAACGCATTCATAAACTCTTCGCTTCAAACGAGTGCTGATGGAATCAAATCACAAAAATCCGCTAGCAGTGGTTCTGCTACTGGGAATTTGCGCAATAAATGCGCTCTTAAGCCGGGCCACTCCCTTATGGATTGGATACGTTTAGGTAATTCAGGCGAAGATTTATCTGGTACACAAGGGCGCCTTACAACCGTTTCTATGGAAGAGTTATCTAAACATAATTCTAGAAATGATGCCTGGATAGCTATACGTGGTGTTGTCTATAATATAACACGTTATATGGACTTTCATCCTGGAGGTAAACAATGGTGTTAAGTTAATATTTTATTATTCTATTTTATAATTCTACTTGTTGCTCAAGGTGTTGACGAATTAATGCGTGGTGTGGGGAAAGATAGCACCCAGCTATTTAGTGAGGTGCATGCTTGGGTTAATTATCAACAATTACTAAATAAATGTTGCATTGGTCCTTTGAAAAAAATTGTAAAAGTTCAGCCAGATCTAATAAAACATTTGGAGGCTAAAATCAGTTTAAAGGAAGGCGAATTACTCCAATTACCGAAAGCTAAGTTTGAGGTAGAACCACGTTTCGATTGGATACAAAAACTTAATGATCTTACAATCTACGTGTATACCAAACAATTTTGCAATCCTGGTTTTCTAATCAAAAAGATGAATGGAGTTAACCATGTGGAAATATGGATATTAACAGAAGCCGGAATACATAAATTTCAATACGAGCTACACGGTGGTGTAGAATGGCCCCCTAAGGATTTAAAGATGTCTACAGAAAGCGGTAAGCTCGAGATAAACTTCTGTAAAAGTGAACAGCATAGAGAATTGTGGCGATCCTTAGGCACACACAATATTAAAAAACTAATGAAATCGTCTTGCGAAGAAGAAATATTCATTGATTTTCAAGTAATTAAAAATCAACAATTCAATCACGATTCCCACGAACTTGTACTGCAAAATAAACATGCGATATTAATAGTACCTGTAGGTTATCATGTGACATTGGGTCTAAATTGGGAAGCGCTTAAAAAGGATTACACACCAGTACCTGCTAAATATTTAAGTTGCATGGAAAAACGGGAATTTTCTACTTTAAATCTGTTAATTAAAAAATATACACCGAGGCAGTATTTCTCATCGCGTTTAAGTGAACAAATGGAAGACACTTGCCTTCAGATTTCTATGCCTAAAGGAAATTTAAAATTATTATCTCTAGCAAAACATAGGAACCTTTGCCTTTTGGCTGCCGGTAGCGGGCTGACGCCGTTTCTGGGAATGATTGAACATTTGTTAAAACGTCAAACGAATCGCATGTAAGTTGTAGAGATTTTCATTTACTTTTGTCTTTATACCCTCACCCAACGCTATGTCTATTATGTTCCTTAGGCAATATATCCTCCAAAGTTCGGCTAATCGCCCCCCCCCCCCCTCTCCCCACGCCCTCGTAGCAAAAAAATTAGAAGAGTACATTCTTGATGATCGTAAAAAGGATGAATTTAGAGTTGTGTTGGCTTACCGAGGAATAAGCTAAGCTATCTATTTACTTAAAAGTAAATTAACGCTTAAAATTAAATTGGGCACAACTAAGTTGTCAGTAATTCTAATGCATTTAGTAAGACTAATATAAACCGCTACGCGATAACTTACTTACTATTCTAAGAAATCGCGACGAATCAATTTTTAATCTGGCCTACCTTTACAGAATCTCTTAAGTATACTATATTATCGTAAAGGAGGGAATAGGAACCTTTAGATTAAAATCACGCCAAAAGGAACACTGATGCAATTTATGCAATGTATCAAGAGTATTAGGTGTTTGCCAAAATTTTCATCATTTTTTACCTGAAAAGGCATTTTTTTGAAAATATTACTACAGTGTATATCAATTAAAATATTTTTCATCATTTTTTACAACTTTTTGCCAATTTTCTGGCAACATGGCGATCCCGAGATGAAAGAACGATATTGGTGTGGCAGCGTTCCAATCATCGAGCCATTTTCGCACTTCTTCAACTCGCAGGAGCCGCTTGCCAGCCAAAGCATTACTGCATTGCCCCGAATAAGTGGTAATCAGGAGGTGCCATTCCTGGTGAATAGGCTGGGTGTGTTAGAACTTCCCACTCGAACTGCAAGAGTGTATTCTTGACAATTCTCGCAACAATTGGCCAAAAAATAGCATTTTCAGTCAATTTGTGTCGTCACTTCTAAAGCGTTCAAATCAAAACCGACAATTGGCATATGATGTGAACTGTTATTTTAGGTAGACGAAGATCAAAACCAACGCTGATCGAAATTTTTGCAATTATTATGAAACGGGACATATAGTTAGATTATAGCAATGCGATCTGCTTGCAGAAGTAAATCCTTACGATTTGAAAGAAAATGATAGGCATAAGAGATGCGAAAGGAACTTATGTGAGTTAGATACGCATCTAATTTGCTTTATAAGTTTGTTGCGCTATTACAGTTTTCCGAATCCTATCCATTATCATTATCGCTTGTAATCATTATTGAGAATTGAATTTAAATAGCTTGATACATTCGTTCGCACATTTTTATTATAAAAATATTTAAATTAAAGCGGTGAGAGTAGAAAAAAATCAATTAAAATTGTTAGTTGCTTTCGTTTGAATAAAAACAAAAAAAACATATTTATATATTTATATTCTTCTCTCTTTGACATTTCAGTGAACTACTCTATTTATTTTATTTCAATAAAACATCCGAAGACATTTGGTGTCAAAAAATTCTGGAAGAATCATCTAAGGAAGATGAACGTTTTAAATTTGTATCGATGCTAAGCAGAGATAGTGATGGATGGGATGGCTTAAAGGGCCAAATTTCAGAGAATTTATTGTTGCCGTTGGTGGATAAAAGCTGCAGGAATCCAATTACTTATATAGCTGTCTGTGGTCCTATAGGTTTCAATGCAAAAGCAGAAGAAATTGTTAAGTCAATCGGTTTCTCTACAGAAAATTTTTACGTTTTTCAGGGTTAGAAACAGTTTATAAACTTTTCTAATTATATTTAGGCTTAAAATACGATTTTGAAAGTTAAAGGAAATTTGAACTTAAATCCAACTATAAAGGCAAATCCTTGAATCCGACAAACTGATTTTCAGTAGATTTTAGGATCAAAAAATTATTGGTAGTTAAAACGCAAAATTAACGGAAACTGGTAGAATGCATCATATTTATATTTTGCAACTGGTGATCTTCATTATTTTTTTTTTTTTTCTTTTGGGTCCAAAGACAATTCATCACTGCTGCTCTGTCGCCTCTTGGCTAATATATGTATATAATGTTGCAGTGCAGACCGTAAAGTCATTAAATTGAATTTCAAGATTATATGCAAAAATCTCCTACTGCACAGAAATTGAATATGCGCGACATTAATAATACGTGCCATAAATAGATGCAACAAAGCTAATAAAATTTTGATCCTAATTCTCCTCTACGGGTAATAATTAAAATTCGCCTAAACACTTTCCTTTTTCAAGGACCTTATAGTGTACAATTGTTACATAACAAATGACACAACAGAAATATTGTCAAATATCGAAAGAAATTCTATATACAGACTAATGTTTGCCCAGGGAAAAGTTGAGAAATTCCGTTTAGTAAACTATTTTTGTTTTTATTAGCTGTTATTTGTAAAGTGAACAGAGAGAGAGAGAGAGAGAGAGAGAGCTTTCACTATTTGTTTATGTTTTATGAAAAGAAATAATGTTAATTGAAATTTTTAATAACGAAAATAACTTTATCAACTCAATGGAACAAATCTGTGATTTTAATATTGAAAATATGATTTTACTTAAGAAATGTTAAGCATCAAAACAGAGATAATAGCCATGAAATTGATAGTCTGTGAAGTCCTTGCCTTCTATATATTTTATCCACTTCCAATGCCGTGCGGTATTTACTTAATTTAATTATCCAAGCACTGATAATAAAGGGGATGATAACTTTATTTATGGCTAAATTTATTTATTTAGTTTTTTTTTTTTTTATTATTATTATTATAAAGTACAACAAAGATATTTGCAATTATTAAAAAAATTGCTTTAGGGGGAGCAATGCGATTTGTTTTTTAAGATTAACTATTAAATAAAAACGGTTTAAAAACTAAAATTCTTATTCAACATCTTAACAAAAACTCACACAATTGAAGAAATAAAGAGAAAAAAGTCGCAGATGGTAAAGTAAAAGACTTGTTGAATAAATATCATTATCGCTGTTATTTTATGGTAAGCAAAAATAGCTTGTACTGAAAACAATTGACAGTAAAAATCATGCACATCGTCTTGTGTTGATTTGTATTAAAAGGCGGGTGCGATGTGTAAAATGTCTGCAGAATAAACTTAAAAGAGAAAGAAAGCGAAAAATGTTTCGACGCTGTGCTAAGAAAACATCCACGTTTCGTTTTTTATTTAATACGAGCGTATGGCTGGTGGCACCGATTTTACTGACTCGTTTAGTGTCTCATCGATAACTTTTCGATACTTAATTTCGACTGTTCCTTTATCATCGCAAATCCATGCCAACGTATGCTTACGCCAATGCTGCTCCAAGGGTTTCTTTTGTTGACCTTCGATTGGTTTACTATAGTCCTGTCGAACAATACAACAATAACATTAGTCATATTTATAAGCCAATGCACGATAAGCTAATTATAATATTTACGTATTCGTCTATGCGCTGCTTGAAATCTTCACGAGCATGAGCACCACGGGATTCCTTGCGATTTTCAGCACCAACGATAGTCATGCGCGCGTTGGCTAAAAGATTTTGCAATTCCAAAGTTTCCACCAAATCCGAATTCCAAACATTAGATCTAAATTCAATGAGAAACACCACTTATGAGAGCAATATATGCAAAACGCGCGCAGTATGTCTCTCACTTGTCAACCACTTGGATATCTTTGAATTGTTGGTAGACGTCACACATTTTCTTACAACCTTCTTTAAGTAATGAACCCTCACGAAATACAGCAGCATGGCCCTGCATGGTTTTCTGCATTTTTAAACGTAAATCTGCGGTCTTTATTTTGCCATTGGAATGACGTAATTTATCCATATTAGCTACCGACATTTCACCAGCATTCTAAAATGAGAAAACGTGTTATATTTCCATTCAACAAAATTGATCGGACTATATACTAACATCTTTTAATGTGGGAGCTTTTTCACCTGGTTTAGTTACTTCTGCAATAGTTTTCGCACATGCTCGGCCGAAAACAACAAGATCTAGAAGGGAATTGGCTCCCAAACGATTAGCACCATGCACCGAAGAACATCCAGCTTCTCCAGCTGCATACAAACCGGGAACTATTACGTCACAACCGTTGTTATCAATGGTCAAGACTTGGCCGCGATAGTTGGTAGGTACGCCTCCCATATTGTAATGCACTGTTGGCAGCACCGGGATAGGTTCGCGCGTAACGTCAACACCAGCAAAAATCATTGCAGTTTCTGAAATTCCAGGCAAACGTTGAGCCAATTGCTCTGGCGGCAAGTGATGTAATTGCAAGTAAACATGATCTTTTTCAGGCCCCACGCCACGACCCTCCATAATTTCGATTGTCATCGAACGTGAGACAACATCACGCGAAGCCA